TTTGCTTCCTTGGGAGCCAGAAAAGTACAATTCTAATACATCCAGGTTGGGATAGAAGTAGTGTATTTAAGCTTCAAATATTGTGAGTTTTCATACAACTACTTTTTAGTATTTCAATACTTTTTCAATCACTTTAATGCTCTGGGGAAATTTTTGACCATTAAAAAACTACAGGGAGGCCAAGTGTGGTGGCTCACTCCCATAATCCTAGCACTCTGGGAGGCCAGGGTGGGAGGATCATTTGAACTCAGGAGTTCGAGACCAGCCTGAGCAAGAGCGAGACCCCGTCTCTACTAAAATAAAATAGAAAGAAATTAGCTGGACAACTAAAACTATATAGAAAAAAATTAGCCGGGCATGGTGGTGCATGCCTGTAGCTCCAGCTACTCGGGAGGCTGAGGCAGGAGGATCTCTTGAGCCCAGGAGTCTGAGGTTGCTGTGATCTAGGCTGACGCCACAACACTCACTCTAGCCTGGGCAACAGAGTGAGACTCTGTCTCAAAAACAAACAAAGAAAACAACTACAAGGTTCAGTGACATACACATGTGATCCCAGTGTTACTGAGACAGAGTCCTGTGGCCGAGGTCGGGTGGGAGGCTGAGACCCCACCCACCCCAGAGCAGGTGTCCTCGGTGGGGGATGCTGGGAACACAGGCCAGGTGGGAGGAGTGGGGGCATGAATGAGTCCCCTCCTGCCCACCAGCCAGCCAGACTTATCCAGACTTTGTGTGGTCAGCACAGCGCCACTCAACAGTGTCTGCATTCTAATCCCTGGCACCTGTGGACATGTCACCTACCATGGCAAAAGACTTTGCAAATGGTATTAAAGACCTTGAGATCGGAGATCATCCTGGATTACTTGGGTGGGCCCAATGTCAACACAGGGGTCTTTAAAACCACGAACGTTCTCCAGCCCGAGGCACAAGAGAAGGGCAGAGGGAAGATCAGTTCTGTCTAAAACACCTGCTCCGGCCAGACAGCCCTGCCTTGGGGAGCGATGAAACTGGCGCGGGCTGAGCGCGGGCGGCCCCACCTTTGTGTCCCTGGGTCCTCCTTTGGGTACAGAAGTGATGGGAGATGGGCGATTCCATAAGAAGGTACTGGAATCCTCCCAGCGTAGGACGGTGGCTGGACGGAGGTGCAGGTGGGAGACGGGGAAAGGGAGTCAGAGTTCTGACTCCAAGGGATCAAAGTGTCGGGTGGAGACCCAGGCGGGCCCCGAGGCGGTGGATGGGGAGGTCACAGGAGCCCCCGGAGGCGGGGAGACCCGGAAGTCGGTGCAAGGCCTGGTCGGGGCACTGGACTCCGGTCCTCCAGACCCGGGCCGAGAGGGGACAGCCCCCGCCAGTTTTCCCGCGCGCGGCCGGCAGGAGGCGGCACCGCAGCAGGCCCCGGGCCAGACTGCTAAGGTGGCGGCCACTCGGCCTCGGGGCACACCAGCTCCGCGGAGACGGGCCCAGTGCGCAAGCGCGCCCCGCCGCAGGCCCCGCCCGGATCGTGCTCTGATTGGCGGTAGCCGCCCCCGGGCGGGGCCTGCGGGCACGGGGCGGGGCCTGGAGCCGCGGCTGCGCAGCACGGGGCCCCGCGCGGGCGGGTGGGCGGAGCGGGCCCCGAGCGGGGCTGGCGAGCGCGGAGGGGCCGAGAGGGCGGCAGAGCGCGCGCGCCCGGCTGGGGCGGAGGGTGGGGCCGCAGGCCAGAACAGCCGCGGCGAGTGGCGGCGGCGGCGAAGGCAGCGGCGGCGGCGGCGAGCGGGGGTCCGGGCGGCGGCAGCGGCGGCGGCGGGCCCCGAGGCGGGCCGAGGAGCCGGGCGTGATGGAGCGGAAGAGGTGGGAGTGCCCGGCGCTCCCGCAGGGCTGGGAGAGGGAAGAAGTGCCCAGAAGGTCGGGGCTGTCGGCCGGCCACAGGGATGTCTTTTACTATAGGTGAATGAGCGCGCCGGCCGCGCAGGGCCCAGCGGGCGCCTCCCAGCGGCCTCCGCGCGGCCGGCGCCCTGCCCGGCCGCCCCGCGCCTGCGCGTGCGTCGTGCGTGCGTGCGTGCGTGCCTGCTGGCGGCCCAGTGCGCGTGCGCGGCCCGTGCGGCCTCATGGCGCCTTGGCCGGCACGGGGCGCGCGGGCGGCGGCTGCCTTTGTTCGCAGGCGCTGGGCGAGGGGCGCTCGGCCGCGGCCTGACGCTGCTGGGAGGCGGGGGTGGGGGTGGGCTCGCCCTTCGGTGCGCGCGGGGCCCGAGGGGGGCGGCCAGCCGGGAAGCGGGCTGCAGGGCTTGCTTGGGGCGACCGGGATGGTGTCCTGTACAGGCAAGTCCCTGGGCCCTTCCCGGTGCTCGGAATGGGCCTCCCAGGGTGGCCGGACCACATTTTTCTACTCTCGGACATGTTCCCAGGCCATTGCCCCTGGTAGGTCGTGGTGGAGGACCTAGACACGCGACTCTGAGCCCAGGAAGGTAGCCTTGGCGTCGCTGTCGCTGGTTGTCGGAGGCTTTCAGAGCCCCCTCCCCGAAATTGCAAGGAGGCGCCGCTCTTGGCCTGGGAAAGGTGGCAGGGCAGCCTTTCCGTGGAACAAAGAGTGTGTCGCTGGCATGCAGCCCAGCCCCAGACAGTCGGCCACCTGCTGTTTGTCTTCCTCCTTTTTTTCTCCCCCTCCCTGGCTGGCGAAAGAAAAGACACTTGAGTCTGAGCCAGCTTTTATTGCGCTGGCCCCTGTGCTTCGGTATCCCGCGGTGCCCTTAGGTCCCCCTCCAAAGGAAAGCCGGACACCCGCCGCGTTCTTCAGCCTGGGTGCTGCTGGTCCCAGTCCATCCCCCAGCCCTGTGAAGGCCAGTATTCATGAGCCAAGAATCGGCAGGACCACCGCTGCATCCACTGAGCACTTCAGTGGCCTGTGGTTCTCCAGTGTCCCCATTTAGGGAGATAAAGTGAGCTGAGAAGGGACGGCTTGTGTAGATGCCTGCGGGTATGGTCTAGGACAAGCTCTGGTTTTGATTTTCAAAAACTGAGGGCTGCAAAGCGGAGGGGAGACTTGGTGCATCATTGAATGTTGTAATTAGCTGGAACTCTGTAATTACAGGCATTGAAATAGTGGGAGTGTAAACAATGTCACTTAGGAATAAATCTGTACATTCCCCTTTGCTGCCCAACATCCCCCCCCCCCCATACACACACACTTCATCCTCATAAGAACTTCGTGTTTCTGTTCTCAGCATGCTACCTCTGCATGCCTAACTCAGTCACATCTGCATGCCTCATCCTTCCAAAAGCAGCTGGCAGGTCTGTGTCTGCCTCTCTAGTCCTTTGTTAATATAACAAATGCCAGTGTGTCAGGCACTGCCTGGGTGGATCCTGGCTTTTCACCTGGGAGTGAGACCAGGCTCTCCCCTCATGGGTGACAGCCAGGGCACCAGCCATCTCCCTTTACAACCATGGTTGTGGGTGGTGATAACAGCGCCTGGCTGAGACTGGGGAGGCCTTCTCTAAGGAGGTGACATGGAGTGGCACTGGGAACTGCTTGTGCAAAGGCCCCGGGGAGGCTCAGAGCTGGCTGTGGCTTGGGATCCGAACCAAGGCCAGTTTGGCGAGAGAGTCCTGAGACTGTCATCACCCTACATCTCTAGTCCCCGTCTGCCTGGGAGGTTCTCAGGGCCTCAGCCATGGGGGATCTGACTCTGAGCCCCCCACCCTGAGCATACAGGTCTGGCAGTGGAGAAGAGCAGGGGAAAGTTCTAAAAAGGCTAGAGAAATTTCAGGTTTCCTATTGTGAGAGGTGAAGCCAGACTCAGCCCAGAGCAGCCCGCTGCAGACCTGGGGTGTTCCTTGCCCAAGGCTTTGATCCTGGCCTCCTTGTTCCCTGTCTGCACTCTCAGGTAGGCCTGAGAGCACTCAGGTTGCAGGGCCCATTTTGTTTTATACGTTCGGTTGTATTGAGTCTGATCATTTTTCATTCAATAAAATATCAGGGACGTCTTTCTGTGTCGATACAGATCTGCATAACCTTTTCTAAAAATTGAGATATAATTCACATACCGTAAAAATTACCCTTTTAAAGTATACGATTCAGTGGGGAGGTTTTCTTTGTTTGTTTGTTTGTTTTTTTGTTTTTTTTTTTTTGAGACAGAGTCTCACTCTGTTGCCTGGGCTAGAGTGCCGTGGCGTGCGCCTAGCTCATAAGCAACCTCAAACTCCTGGGCTCAAGCGATCCTCCTGCCTCAGCCTCCCAAATAGCTGGGACTACAGGCATCCATCACTATGCCCAGCTAATTTAAAAAAAATATATATATATATATATGTGTGTGTGTTTTAGTTGTCTAGCTAATTTCTTTCTATTTTTTTAGTAGAGACGGGGTCTCACTCTTGCTCAGGCTAGTCTCGAACTCCTGAGCTCAAATGATCTGCCCGCCTCGGCCTTCCAGAGTGCTAGGATTACCGGTGTGAGCCACCAGGCCCATTCTGTTTGTTTTTGTGGAGACAGGGTCTCCCTTTGTTGCCCTGAGAAGAGTGCAGTGGTGTTGTCATAGCTCACTGCAGCCTCCAACCCCAGGGCTCAAGCGATTCTCCTGCCATAGCCTCTCAAGTAGGTGGGACCACAGGCGCATGCCATTACAATACCTGGCTAATTTTTCTACTTTTTGCAGAGATAGGCCCTTGCTGTGTTGCCCAGGCTAGTCTCAAACTCCTGACCTCAAGTGATCCTCCCACCTCTGTCTCCCAGAGTGCCAGGATTACAGGTGTGAGCCACCACACCGGGCCTCTTTTTTTTTTTTTTTTTTTTCTTGCTTTGTTGTCCAGGCTGGAGTGAGTGCCATGGCGTCAGCCTAGTTCACAACAACCTCAAACTCCTGGGCTCAAGCAATCCTCCTGCCTCAGCCTCCCGAGTAGCTGGGACTACAGGCATGCGCCACCATGCCCAGCTAATTTTTTCTATATATATTAGTTAGCCAATTAATTTCTTTCTATTTATAGTAGAGACGGGGTCTCGCTCTTGCTCAGGCTGGTTTTGAACTCCTGACCTCGAGCAATCCGCCCGCCTTAGCCTCCCAGAGTGCTAGGATTACAGGCATGAGCCACTGCGCCTCGCCTGGCCTCTTTTCAGTGGCTTTAATACATTCACAAAGCTGTGTAACCATCACCACTAATTCCAGAACATTCTCATCATCTTAAAAAGAAGGCTGTCACCATCAGCAGTTGCTCCCCATTTCACTCTCCCCTACCCCCTGCTAACCACTCATCCACTTTATGTCTTGCATTTATTTTTTTGAGATAGCTTTATTGAGATGTGGTTCACATACCATACAGTTCACTCAGAGCGTGCAAATCAGTGGGGTTTTATTAGCATGTTCATAGATACGTGCAGCTATGATCAGATTCAAGTTTAGAGTTTCTTCATCCCAGGAAAAACCCACTGCTTTATGTTCCTGTTACCCCAGCCCCAAGCAACCACTAGTGTACATTCTGTTCTTCTGTGTGTCCCTGTTAGCCTTTGTCATAAAAGGCAGAGCAGCCTCTCTGGGTTGAGGAGGGGGTCCCTTCCTTTTTTATGGCTGTATTTGAAGGCTGACTCACGGCCTTGGGTTGGTTTTCACTGCCCTGGGCAAGTGGGCCCAGATTTAACATCAGCCAGCCCAGAGCGTAATTAGGAAAGTAACTCTTCCAGAGGAGTCCTGTGTGGCTTCAGGGCCCCAGGCAGTTGTCCTCTGGTGCCCTCCATGGGTGCGGTGTCCTAGTCGATGTGTCCGTGCCCTTGTGTAACACTGAATTTGCCCAGCAGAGAGGGAAGTTTAACTTTCTGCGGTCTGTGTACTAACCTAGTGTGTAGATCTCAGATCTGGGAGATTGAACGAAGCATGTGACCAAACATTTCTGTGCAGACATCGCAGGATTGGGTTTCCTTCTGGCTGTGACGGATCCCAAGTTGTTCTCTTTATTGTCCTGTGTTTGCCATGCGCCAAGACATATGCTGCAGGTGCAGGAGCAGCTCGTCCTAGAGGTTTCCAGGGAGAACCAACAAAATAGAGCCACTCACCAGTCTCTCGGACTGAGCAGTCTCTAATAAGAGGGACTGTTCACTGAGTCTGTAGAGGTACTGTGCTTAAGGTACCTGGCCTAGTAAGCACCACGCAAGCGCTGTTATTTTTAGACAACTTTGTTGAGATATAATCATAGAGCATGCAATTTACCCACTTTAAGGTGTGCAATTCAGTGGTTTTTAGGATATTCATAGAGTTGTGCAATCATCAGCACTATCTAATGTCAAAACATTTTCATCACCCCCAAAAGACACCCTGTCCCCATGAGCAATTGCTCCCCCAGCCCCTGGCACCCACGAATCCACAGCCCGTCTCTGTGGATCTGCCTGTTCTAGACATTTCATATAAATGAAGTCTCACACTGTGTGTTCTGTGTCTGGCGAATCTCACTGAGCACAATGTCCTCAAAGTCCATCCACACCGTGGCCTGTGTCAGAGTCTCGTTCCTTTTGGTGGGTGAGTAATTTTCCGCATGTGGGTGGACCATGTTGTGTGTGTCTGGGCATTTGGGCTGTTTCCACCTTTTGGCTGTTGTGACAGTGCTGGTGGGAACATTCAAGTAGAAGTTACCGTGTGTGAAGTTACCGTGCAGACGCGAGTTTTCGTTTCTCGCCAGTAGATACCCAGGAGTGCAATGGCCGGGTCATAGGGAGCCTTTCACTGTTGGAGGAGCTGCCAGACCGTTTTTCAGAACTACAGCTCCCTTTCACAACCACCTACCATGGTGACACTGTGCCGGTTGTGTGTAGTCATGTATGACACTCAGCACGCAGGGCAACCCTACAGATTGGTGTCCGTGTTTCCCAGAGAGCGCTGAGGACAGAGCTTTGCATCCCGCCCTCACCCAGATCCGTTTCCCTGCTGGAGCCAGGGCACCCCCCGGACAGCTTTTCAGGGTCCTGGACCCGAATCTTTGCACGAGAGCCCTTCACACCTTCCCGAGGCAAGGAGGCTGCCTTCAGGGTTGTCCCTCCGATATCTGCTCTCCTCGGTGTCGTCTCGCAAGAGCACGAGCTAATTCTGTTTTTGGAATGTTTTGGACACGTGAGCCAGCCTCCCCCGCCGGGACCCACAATCCTGTAGGTGACAGCGTGAGTCTCGCGCTGGCTGCCCAGGCTAGGGGGCCTGGCTTGGGGTCCGGGTCCAGGTCGGGAATCCATGGCGGGGGTCTAGGGCTGGGGTCCGGGGCATGTCGGGCCCGGCGGTGGCAGTCCCGGTCCGGCCGGCCCACCGCCGCCCTCCCGCCGCAGCCCAAGCGGGAAGAAGTTCCGCAGCAAGCCGCAGCTGGCGCGCTACCTGGGCGGCTCCATGGACCTGAGCACCTTCGACTTCCGCACGGGCAAGATGCTCATGAGCAAGATGAACAAGAGCCGCCAGCGTGTGCGCTATGACTCGTCCAACCAGGTTAAGGTGAGCCGCTTGCGCTGTGTGACGTCATGACGCTGGGCGGTGACGCGGTGACGCTGGCGGGGGTGGAGGGCAGAGGTCAGACATGGCGCGGACGTGGGCCCTGGAGCCTGCGGTGGGCCCGGCCCCAGCCTGCAGCACCTGGTCCCTGCAGGGCAAGCCCGACCTGAACACGGCGCTGCCCGTGCGGCAGACGGCGTCCATCTTCAAGCAGCCGGTGACCAAGATCACCAACCACCCCAGCAACAAGGTGAAGAGCGACCCGCAGAAGGCGGTGGACCAGCCGCGGCAGGTGAGCGCGGGGATGCGGGTCCCCTGCCCGCCACGTGGGCCGTGTTGTGAGTGTCGCTGGCCCTGCGGGTGGGGGCTCGGAGTGCAGTTGTGCCTCGGCGTCGCGGGCATGTCCGGCGCTCCAGGGGTGCTCGGGTCGCTGTGGACAACGCCCTGGTGCTTGCTGTGACCTGCATGTGTCCTCCCGCACACTTTCAGCCATCTCTAGAGTGAATGTAAATAATCATGATACTGTTTTGGCTTTTTTGTATCATTTTGTAGTTGTGTATTGTTTGTTATTTGGTCCCCCCCCCCAAATATTTCACATCTGCGGTTGGTTGAATTTCTGGATGTGGAACCGTCAGGAGGGCTAATTGTGCGTGTGTGGTTTTATGACCTGTTTTTTTAAGAAACTGAGTACCATTTGTGTTTTCCACAGTCATTTACACACACTGGGGACATGGGTGTGGCGGGCCCTGAGCCGGGGCCGGAGGGCATGGGAGTGGCTCGGGCAGGGCCATCACCATGGAGGCTCCCGTCTGTGTGTTTGCAGCTCTTCTGGGAGAAGAAGCTGAGCGGCCTGAACGCCTTCGACATCGCGGAGGAGCTGGTCAAGACCATGGACCTCCCCAAGGGCCTGCAAGGTGACGCGAGGAGTGTTGAAGCTGTGTGTCACGGGGGCAGGGCCGCCACGGGGGCAGGGCCGCGGGCGCTGGCGGGGAGGCTCTCAGGCCAGGCCCTTCTTGCTTGGCCTTGGAGACCCTGTGGGTGTTGGACTTTGGGGCTTCCGGGTGCGGCCCAGGCATTGGGGGGTGGTTTGACCTGCGGGAGGCAGGGCTCTACCTTGGGGATCCTAAAAAGACAAACAAGGATGTTCAGTTTTGCTGCCACAGCCTGGAGCACGCACTCGGTGCACACGTGCGGAGCTTGTGGCTTGTTGTTAAAGAAACAAAACGAGGCCGGGCGAGGTGGCTCACGCCTGTAATCCTAGCTCTCTGGGAGGCCGAGGCGGGTGGATTGCTCAAGGTCAGGAGTTCGAAACCAGCCTGAGCAAGAGCGAGACCCCGCCTCTACTATAAATAGAAAGAAATTAATTGGCCAACTAATATATATAGAAAAAATTAGCCGGGCATAGTGGCGCATGCCTGTAATCCCAGCTACTCAGGAGGCCGAGGCAGGAGGATTGCTTGAGCCCAGGAGTTTGAGGTTGCTGTGAGCTAGGTTGACGCCATGGCACTCACTCTAGCCTGGGCAACAAAGCGAGACTCTGTCTCAAAAAAAAAAAAAGAAAGAAACAAAACGGCACAGGCGGGAGGAAATCCGGACACCAAACCCCAGGCTGAAGGCAGAAGGAGAAGCCCTGTTCTTGGGGCATGTCCCGAGGCCTGGCCCAGCCTTGGGGGGCCAGCGGGGGCCTCTTTCTGGGTCATGGCTGCCTGTGGTGACCTCACTGCCTGGGGCCGTCTCTCCTGCTGCCCTGGTAGGTGTGGGGCCCGGCTGCACAGACGAGACCCTGCTGTCGGCCATCGCCAGTGCCCTGCACACGAGCACCATGCCCATCACCGGGCAGCTCTCGGCTGCCGTGGAGAAGAACCCCGGTGTGTGGCTCAACACGACACAGCCCCTGTGCAAGGCCTTCATGGTGACCGATGAGGACATCAGGTAAGTAGCCGGCCTGGCCTTCCCCTCCTCTTCCCATCCCTCTGCCTCATCTCTCTGGGTCGTGGTAGAGTGTCCCTGGGTGTCCCTGAGCACCACCTACAAGGGAACCACATGTTAAAGTGGCAGCTTGAACTTGATCACCCAAGTTTTAGGTTCAGGGCAGGCCAGTCAGGTGCCCCTCGAAGGATGTTCTTGAAAAGGGAACGTGGCTCTTTGTGCTCGTGTTGACTGGCGTGCAGGGGTGGGTCACCCAGGCCTCCTGTCCTCAAGGGCATGTGACTCCGGAGGTTCCTGCATTGGGGGAAAGGGGTGGCTTTCCCGGCAGAAGTGGCAGCGTGTATAGTGCTCAGAGTGGCAGGGCCTGCGGCCGCTGCCACAATAAAAAATAGTGAAGCTGGCAAGGGGAGGCTGGCTGCCGGGTCCCCAGGGGCTCTGGATGCTGGGGCTCAGGGTTTGGGCAGCAGCCGTGGGCAAAGGGCCCTCGGGAGACATTTCAGGGCAGAACCAGGGTCCAGTGCACAGGGTGGTGCCACAGCCAGGAGGGCGCATGTGCTAGGACCATCTGCAAAGGCCTCCTGGTCCAGAGGGGTCACCTGAGATTGTCGTGCACATGCAGGAAGTGTCTAGAAGTGCCAGGAGAAAACACATCTCTTAGCTCTATTTGCGATGCACATCATAGGTCAAAGGAGGGAAAGGACCTCTGTAGGGTCCAGAATAGAGGGACCTCACACTCTGAGCAGTCAACGCCTGGGTGGACAGGGAGGGGGCTCCGGCTGTGTGGGCTTCCTGCTCAATACCCAGGGGTCTGAAAGCCACACGGCAGGAGAGCGGAGACCAGATGGCAGGCAGACACCAGCACCTCACGCAGGCGGAATATGGGGCCCCACGGGCTCTGTGCTGGTGGCTCCGCCGGGTGCTGACACCCCCACCACGGTGTCAGGCTCAGTCTGTACTCTGCACAAGGTCTAGGAACCCCCTACGATGAGGAAAGGTGTGATAGAAGGGAAACAGAAGAAAGCGCAAGACTGTCAGGAAACACTAGACGGGTGTTGAAAAGCTCCGTGAATCATCTGGAAGTAGAAAACGCCGTTGATGAGGAACTCAGCTGTGCGTTAAGCAGCAGAATTGGTCCTAGAGACACGGGAGCGAGTTAGCCAGGATGTGCTTCTGGGGCCAGGAGGGTCAGGAGCATCGTGAGAGACACAGGGGCCAGGAGATGGCCGCCGGCAGCCGTGAGACGGTGGGTGGAGTAGTGTCCCCAGAATGCGCTCAGCTCGCGGTTGGGGAGGTAGGAGAGGCCCCGCGGTCGGACAGCCAGATTGAACTCACAGGTGTCCTTTTTCTTTTCCAAACTCCCGAAGCCAGGGGTGGGGACCCTGCAGCCTCCGGGCCACACGTGACTTTCCGGATGCTTGGGCGCGGTCTTTTGACTGAATCTGAGTTCTGCAGAACAAACCATTTTAATAAGCGATAGTAAAAGAAAGCGCACCCAGCGCTGCCGGATGCAGGCAGAGGCCGGAGCAGACAGGTGACTCCGGCCCAGAGGGTGGCGCGTCGCCAGCAGATTGTAACTGGTTTTGAAGCAGCTTCTCCCGAGTGCCTGCGGGGTTGGCGGCAGAGGCCGGGGAGACCGGGTCAGGCAGAGGCGGCCAGTGCCAGGGTCTGGGACGTCCTCGGCCCCTGGCAGGGTGGAAGGTGTGCCACCTGGAACATTGACCCAGAGGGGCAGGAGGCAGGCAGGGGCTGTCCCGGGGACGCCCCGGGGCCTTCCCTTCCCCAGCGAGCGTGGCCTGTATCCCCAGGAAGCAGGAGGAGCTGGTGCAGCAGGTGCGGAAGCGGCTGGAGGAGGCGCTGATGGCCGACATGCTGGCGCACGTGGAGGAGCTGGCCCGCGACGGCGAGGCGCCGCTGGACAAGGCCTGTGGGGACGAGGAAGAGGAGGAGGAAGAGGAGGAGGAGGAGGAGCCCGACCAGGACCAGGAGATGGAGCACGTCTAGGGCAGGTACTGCCCAGGCCCCGGTGGGGGAGGGAGCTCGGGGCCAAGCCTGTGGCTGGAACAGGTCCCAGGCACAGCGCACACGTGGGCAGTGACTGCCAGCGGCTGGCGGGTGCGGCCCCGGTGTTGGGGGTCAGTGGACATGAAGCCCCTTAGCCGAGGGGCCGTCTCTCCACAACCCTGAGGGCTGTGCTCGGTGGTGTCTCCATGGGAGAGTCCAGGCAACCTGTCCCCATACATCTCTAACGGTGTCCCTCCCTGTCCTCTTCCAGATGCCCAGCCGAGAGCCCCACGCTGCGGGGGCGCCAGCGTGAGCCGCCTGCAGACTCGGCCCTCGGCTTGGGACCAGGCTTGGGAGCCAAGCGCGGCCGGGGAGGAAGGCTGCCTGCCCCCTGCCTGCTCCATCCTCCCTGCCTTGGACCTTGGGCACGGCTGGGGACAGCTCCCCACCGACGGACCCTCCATGCCTGCCCTGGGAAGGGCCTGCGTTCCAGAAGTGCCGGTCGCTCCTGGGCCCTGCCTGGCAGGAGGCCCCTCCTGGGTCATCGCAGCCACGTGGTGCCAGGGCCCAGACCAGCCCCTGGAGACAGAAGAGCCACCTGCAGGTGCCCGCCTGGGCCATACCCAGGGACCGGGGCCACCTATAAGGATTCTTCAGTCGCTGCGTCTCCACGAGGCTGGAGAAATACTTCTGGAACCGGTCGCCTCCCCATGCAGTGCGTGGGACGCCGCTCTGAACGTCGGCCCTCCCTCTGCACGGCCACCCGGCGGGGCGGAGTCACCACCGGGCACACCCAGGAGGTCCCGTCCCTTTAATAAACCCATGATACACACGAGGGCGGACGTTCCCAGCTGTGTGAGCTTCCGTGCGGGCTGCATCTGGACTGAACTCCGGCCTTGGCTTCTGAAAACCAGACTGTCTCCCACTGTTGCGCCCTGGTCTGAGGTTCAGGCCCCAAGGGGAGCCCCCTGCGCCTGGAACCGCCTTAAGGAGGGCTCGGGCACCAGTGTGCCAGGCTGGGGCTCCAGGCAGCTCTGCTGTCACCAACCCCTGTGCCTCGGTTTCCTCATCTGTAGAGCAGAGACAGGTGCCTAGATTTCAGGGCAGAGCCTTTGGCACCAAGGTCACCTGAATGACGTGTCATTCATACTCCCCCGCCCCCAACCTGGGGGCTGCTTCCTCACTCACCGACCCTGTCCCCAGGGACTGTGTGCCAGCGCCCGGCTCAGGGGCGCCTCTGGCGTGTCATCTCTGGCTGTGCCCCTCCTCCCTTGTCTGCTGCCCCGCAGGGCCAGGCGGGGGTGGGGGTCGTGGCCGAACCCCACGAAGGCTGGATGCCAGGTGCGTAGGCGCTGACCTCTAATGAGGTCACTGGGGGCCCAGTGTCCCCTGGCCCTCCAAGGGTGCTCACCTGGTTGGCGCTAATGCTTTCCTTTTGTTCTGTCAAGTCAAAGCACAATTTGCAGAGGACGACGGTTTCTGGAGCTTTGGGCTCCGTGCCCTGGGCCTGGAGGGCTCAGCCTCAAGGCGGCCGAGGGCAGCTCTGGTGGGGGATGCTGTCGGGTCCCCATGGCAATGGCTCAGTGTCCGCCCTTTGCCTGGCCCGAGGTCCCCAGGTGCTGTCTGTAGAATGGCCTCGGCCTGTGCCCTGCCCGGAGAGGGTCCTGGGGGAGGAGGGATTGGGCAGTGGGGTGTCCTGTACCCACGGCGGAATAAAGCCACTCAGGTGGAACGTGTCAGAGCCTCGGTTAATCCTGAGGACCCAGAGCTCCGCCGTGTCTGGGAGCGTTGCGTGGCCACCAGCACGAGTTCTCCAGACTTGGCCTGTGCAGTTTTGTCAGCGGTGACGCAGGTGGGTGCACCTCGTCCTGGGAGGGAACCCGGGGCAGCACCCAGCCCCAGGTCATAGGTCGTGGTCTGGCTGTCTGGAGGGAGGACAGCAGGCTTGAGGTCAGAGCCACCCACCTGTCACCCTGAGGGAGGTGAGGCAGGATGGGCCTTCCAGGGAGGATGAGGTCAGCCCCAGGGCCTTGGGGTTCCCACTCAGCAGCCATCCCTGCGCCGGCCACCTCTGGAGGGTCTGTCCTGCCCTGGGGGCACCTAGCACTTTGGCTGCCTGTCCTCACGGCACTGTCAGGGCCTTGGGGGCCTCCTCACCCCTCAGGCGTTGGGTCTGTGAGCCCAGCCTTCTGCCACTGAGACACCCCAGTCACTCGGACCACAGATGTGTTAGTGGCCCTGAGACAGGCTGGGGCCTGGCCTGAGGAGGAAGTGAATCCCACCCCGCTGCAGGGCTGTCTGCACCCAAGGCCCGTCCAGACCCTAGGCTGTGGCCACCTGTGCAGGCTTAAGGGTCCCTCCTAAATTCTCTCCTCCCTCCCTGAAGCCTCAAGGGCCCCAGCAGCCCCGGAGATGCGGCCCCAGAGATGCAGGCGAGTGGCAGAGGCCACATGGGGGCAGGAGGTGGGCTGGGGAGTGGCCCAGGTGGTCAGGCTGCTGTCAGACTCTCTGCCCGCCAGGCTGAGCCCAGGAGTACATGGCACTGTGCCCCGCCCACTGTCCCATCCTGTCCCAGGAGTGGTGGGGGTGGGGAGCTCAAGAACCCTGCTCCTGGGCTCTTGGCTTGGGGACCCCCTGACTGACCACCCCCATGTCTCAGCCCTTGTGACCTTGCACTTTCCAGCACCAAGGGCTGAGTTGTCATCTCCCCACAGACCCTGAGCCCATCAGGCCATGGCCCCCCCCCCAGCTGGGTCCCTGCTCAATGCCAGCAGTTCAGGGGCATCCAAGACACACGCCCTGAGACCGCTCAGCACCCCAGCCCTAGGTGAACAGGAGTAGCCTTCTTTATTTATCTCAGAGACAGGGTCTCGCTCTACTGCCCCATGTGCAGTCAGTGGCATCATCACAGCTCACTGCAGCCTCCAACTCCTGGGCTCAAGCGATCCTCCTACCTCAGCCTCCCAAGTAGCTGAGACTACAGGTGGCATCACCATACCTGGCTAATTTTTCTACTTTTAGTAGAGATGAGGTCTTGTTCTTGCTCAGGCTGGTCTTAAACTCCTGGTCTCAAGCAATCCTCCCGCCTCAGCCTCCCAGAGTGCTGGAGTTACAGGTGTGAGCCACCGCGCCTGGCCTTAAAGTGTATTTTTGTATTACGGAAGGTTTCAAACATACACCAGCCACACATAACGTGCCAACCACAGCTCATCAGCAGGACCCAGGCCCACCTTGTCTCCCATAAACCATTGCCCCCCAAACCACCTCTGATTCCTTGTTTTATTCTGACGTTCTACTGTACATACGTCTCTGACAGTTGCAGAGTTGAAAGAACCTTTGCAGAGACCACCATACACCCACCAACTACACCAGTGGTTCCCAAATGAGGCATTGCTGCACCTAGGGGACACGCCTGGAGAAACATTTGGTTGTCATGCCTGGGGACGTGTCACACGTTGAATCACACCCCAACAAAGATATGTTCACATCCTAAACCCTGGAACCTGTGGACAAGATCTTATTTGGAAACAGACTCTCTGCAGACATGATCCAGTTAACATGAGCTCACACTGGAGGGTGCAAGTCCTGGTGGGAAGAGGGACATTTGGACATGGAGATTCAGGTAAAGACGCCGTGTGGAGACAGAGGCTGAGACTGCCATGATGTGGCACAAGCCAAGGCTGCCTGGAGCCCCAGATGCTGGAAGGAGCCTCCCCTGGCACTTTCTAAGGAGGCTGGCCCTTGATTTTCCACTCCTGGGCTCCAGAAGTGGGAAGAATTAAATACTCATTGCTTTAAACCACCCAGTTTTTGATAGTTTGTCACAACAGCCACTAGAAACTAATATGGGGTGTGGGATACGTGGTGGAGTTCCCCTGGCAAGGGGTGAGTGGGGGCAGGGACATGGCCCAGCAGTGCCCAGGACAGCCCCACCCCAGAGATCGACCCGGCTGCCGATTAATGTAGTATTGAGGGGGGAAAACCCTGTTCCAGGGTTGTCGTCTGTTCCGGTTGATAAAATACCACAAACTGGGTGCTTTATAAATTTATTTCTCACATTTCTGGAGACTGTTAGTCGAAGGCAGAGGCACCAGCAGATTTAGTGTCAGTGAGACTAATTTAAAAAATTTTTTTTGGTAGAGACAGAGTCTCGCTATGTTGCCCTAGCTGGTCTTGAACTCTTAGCCTCAGGTGATCCTCCCACCTCAGCCTCCCAAAGTGCTGGGGCTAGAGGCATAAACCACCATGCCCAGCCTAAGACTTTAAAAATACATGGCTGCAGGGGCCGTTATCAATAAATCCTTGCAAACATTAAACAGGCCAATGTTCACGTATCCCTGATTGCATATTGACACCGGTAGTCGCCTCTGCTCCTGATGGCAGATGCTGCCCACAGTTCAACACATCCAGACCTTCCACCACCAACTTCAGGCCTCCCCAGGACCTTCCTGGGGCAGAACCTGTTTCTTTCTTCATTTACTGACTCCCTTGTTTTGCTGGAGCGCATCCTCCAGTACACTAAGCTAATTAGTAAAAACCTCAAAGGCCTGAAACACTTTGATTCTTCCTCACTTGACACACACTTGGGCATCCACCATCACCCTCCCTGGGAACAGAGGTGTTCTCCCTCCTAATCCTTTGGAATGTGACCCGGAAGCACTTAGGGTTCTCTGGATCCCAGACGTGTCCCCAGGACAAGCTGCAGGGTCTTAGGTTGTTGGAAACTGGTCCCATGGTCCCAGGCATCCCCTCCTATTATTTCTTTGACAACTTCCTTCCATCTTCCTCTGTCCCACATGGAATCTGTTTTCTCTTTTCCTCTTGCAGTTCCCAGCTCTGGTCTTTTTGCTTCACTTTGTTCCAGATTTCCTCTACCTTGAATCTTCCTGTGTTTTTAGCTCCCAAGCCCTCTCTTGTTCCAGATTCCTGTTGGCTGGACACCTGGGTGTTGAGCCTCCAGACCCACCTGTCCCACCCACGCCCCTGGTATCCTAGTGTTGCCAGGTGGCTGCGGTGGGCTGGAGTTAGCTGGGCTGGGTGCTGCGTCGCCCCAGGCCTCAATGTAGTCCAGTTTCCTTGCCCAGCAGAGGGAAGTGGCGTGAGTGAGGGCTGGGAGGAGAAAGGGGCAGGCCCAGGACACAAGCCACCAGCACCCGGCTTGTGTGAACACAGCTCCATAGGAACTAACATGGGGTCAGGGGTGCATGAATGCCCACAAAGGTGTGTCCTGAGGCAAGCCCCTCTCTGGCCTCAGTTTCCCCATCTGTCACCACCAACGGCCCTGATGTTGTTCTTCCTTTCCCCTCCCCATGCCCCACCCCTTTCCTCCTCCATTCTCCCACCCTGAGCCCCTGCACGTCAATGTCACGACAGGACGGAATCTGTATGCTTCCCTCTGCCCCAGCGTGCAGGCAGCCCACCCAACAGGTCACCACCTGAAAAGCCTGGCGCCGGGTGCCCTTAGGCGCACGGCTTAGGGGGCCTTGAGGACGTCATGCCCGGCCTGAGGCCTTGAATACCAGCTCAGGTGGAGGTTTCTGCTCCTCGGGGAGACAAGGTCAAGGGACCCAGAGAGGGCAGAGGCCCATCAATCCCACACTATGTGTTTCCTGGGAGCCCAGCAGATCTGGAACTCCCCTGCCAGAGTTTGGTCCCATGGGGAGGGGGCCAGGCATCCGTTATTACAAAGCAATTAACAATTCCAGGCAGCCTGGCATGGTGGCTACTCCGGAGGCTGAGGCGGTAGGATCACTTGAGCCGGAGCTCTGGGCTGTCATGTGCTGTGCCAAGTGGATGTCTGCACTGAATTCGGGGTCGATATGATGACCCCTGGAAGAGAGGGACCAGCAGGCTGCCCAGGGAGGAGTGAACCGGCCCAGGGAGGGGTGAACCACCCCAGGTCAGAACCCGAGCAGGTCAAAACTCCCGTGCTGATCAGGGGTAGGATAGAATGTGTCAATAACCACTGCACTCCAGCCTGGGCAGCATAGCCAGACCCCATTTCTAAAATGAAAAAAATAGGAAAAAAAGTAATAAATAATTCCAAACATTTGAATGCACAAAGAGAAGTCCAGGACCTCAAGAGAGGAAGTGGTGCTGGTGGGCCTGGAGTCAGGAGAGACATTTTAGGGTGAGTAAGGGCTCTGGACAGAGGGACTGACCCAAGCAGGCTGAGGGCTTTTCCCCGAGTCCTGACCAGCCCCGCCTGGTAGAAGTGGTTGCAAGTGAAGGACATTAAGGGGTAGCTGTGGCCTAGGGCGTGGACGGACGGGAGGCGGGGCCCCCTGAAGAGAGTGGGTCCCCACACCCGAGGGCCCTGGCTGGGGAACCTGCCATGCAGGAAAGGCCCCTCGGTGGGAGATCTCTGACCTGTCTGGACTGCCCAGCCCTGATCCCCAGGGGGACTGAGGAGAGGACCGACGCGGGGGTTGCCCCCAGCACAGAGTAGGGACGGGCGGGGGACCTGACTTGTCAGCCCGGCGGGACTTTCGAGAGGTACCTGGGACTCGGGGAGAGGGACGCCACGCCTTCGTGCGCGGGGCTGGGAATCCACGGCTCGGGGAAGGCGGGAGCGGGGTGTTGGGGGGCCCCGCCCGGATCTCTAAGGGGACTCGGAGAGGGACCCCAGGCTCTGAGCGAGCATGGGATGGGGGTCATGGATCAGGGAGGGGCCCAGGTTGCGAAGTCCGCCCGGATCTCTAAGGAGCCTTGGGGAGGGCCCCACGCCTTTGT